AAGCCTGACTCACTTCTTCCATTACTTGGAACCTTTTTTTCAATAGACCAAGGTTCTGTGATACTCAGGGCAGTAAAACAAAAGCTGGTTGGTAGACTTCCGTAACTGACATGCCAGATTTCAACACACTAACAACAATTAGAAGATGTACAATCAGTGCAACATACATTAAATACTGTAGAAGAAACAAAAGTAATTTTTAACTTGACAATTAAAAGAGCCTTAACACATGTACTAACACTTGTTTGAAATCCAGATCCTGCCCCAACTTTATCTCTTGCTAACATAACATCATAGAGAACTGCAGCTAACTTCCAAATATGTCACTGAAAATGTCCAGAACTAGACTTCCAAGTGAAGGCTGTTATTTCCAATATTGGATTGATTTCTAGACCAGTACATGATTGAGTCTGAATAACTGGTCACATTTAAGAAAAACACAAGAGTCATAACTTCTCTTTTTGATTCTCTGTTCCACAAGGTCTAAAAACTTGAGGCAAGGCAGCTTGTCCCATCAGGGGTATAGGTAAGCAAAGGTGGCTCAGGAGCATATGTCCAATACAGCTTCCCAGTCACCATTGTCAGGGAACTCAGCAAACCCACAGGTTAGCATCATTCTTTGTCAGAGCATCAGCATGCCTCACCCATCGCTCTGGCGGCCACCATGGTCCTTCAGCATCCTACAGAAAAAAACACAAACATACCCTCTTCCCCATATTAAATACCTATAATCCTGGGCATGTTAGAGCTCCTGGGAGTCCAGTCTCCTCTGGGTTTTAGGGGATTGGATGCAGAGCTGATGCCCTAGGACTGCTCCAGGCACTGGTGCAGACTGGAAGGGTCACAAATTATAATTTAAAGAGCATTGCACTACTAATATAATATAGTCTTGTTTAATAAATTGTGCTATATGCTGCTCTGTTTGAAATTATTTACAAGCTGTTTTCACTCTGCTTATCCTCATTCTTAAACCTATAGTGAATAAGACATTAATGAGAATTATATTTGCTACTATTTTGATTTTATAAAGGAGGGAACCAAACCTTTCTTATCCGAGGCTCTTATGCTTGTCTAGGATCAAGTTTAAAATTTTAGATTATTTACAAGATGAAGACTATACTCTTGAGACTTGAAAATTTTATTCATTTTTGAAATTAGTGTATATATTAGTTATAAAAAATAATAGAACTTATTGTGTACTAAATAACCAGCAAGAACTGTTTTAAACAGAAAATTCCCTAATGGTAAACTAAGTTGCTGTTTCTACCCAGCTATCACTGAAGTATTTTTATTTTCTCGTGTTGGATAGTAGTCTTATTTATAAGCCTGCATAAGATTATGTTCCTTATGTTGCTCCTCAAAATACTTAGAATTTTTGAAAGTGAATCTGAGAAGATTGTCATAGTTTGTACCAGAAGGAACTATGATAGAATTGATTATGTCTTGGTCCCAAGTGCAGAAGCCATAAAAGAACAGTTAGAGCCCAGGTGTGGCAGTGCCTGCCTTTAACCCTAATCCCAACACGTGGAAGGCTGAGGCAGGTGGATCTTGGAGTTCCAGGAAGAGAGCCTGTCTTTAAAAAAATTAATAATCTACTCTAAAAGAATACCCACCATAAGCAGAATCCACAACCATGATAGAAAGGAAAAGTAGTGTCACTTATACAGAGGGCTTTAACAAATCAAGAAGATGGGCTTATGCAATCAATACAGGGACCAGATCTCCTTGAGAGGAGATGTAAGCTACTCTTAGCCATGTGGAAAGTCCTGGAGTTCCTCATGAAATGTCTACAGGAATGTCATTGTTGCCAACACTCTGTGCTGAACAGATGGCAGCTTTGTGCTGGGCTGGTGGGTCCATCATCCAGTGTAGTCTTAGGAAGGTGGGTTTATTATCTGTTAAAAAAACAGGCTCATCTTCAGCTCAGCATTCAGTTGCCAGCAGTTTGGCCTGTGAGTAAACAAGCAGCCGTGCAAAGGAAAAATACATGTAAGTTGTTGTAGTGTTATAACAGTCACTGTAGGCTGAAGCCCAGCGTGGAACCCCATTTGGATTTTTTTTTTTTAAATCTTTCCTCCTTTTTTTTCCTCTTGGTTTTATCAGTTCTTGGTTTACTGTTTATTTCAGAGTACTTTATGAAAAAAATAGAAACAGCTAAAGTAATAAAAAGCAGAAATCTACACTTGTGAATTTAATTAAAGAAGGAATTTAATGAGAAAGAATATTGGGTAAGAGTTGGCAGTTGCATAGCTAGAAAGAACAACTTGGAAATGGTAGCCAGTGTTAAAGAAGACTTTCTAGTATGGATTTTTTGAAATTGTGTGAAATGTCTTTGTAATGTGGTATATTATAAATATTTTGGGTTTTTTGTTTTCTTTAATACACACACTGTTCATTGGGTAGACACATATAAATGTAAATATGATCAAATGTAATATTTTATTGTATTTTCACTAGCTTTTTGGTTTGCTCAATGTGTATTTTTAATTGTGGTATATTAATTTTCTTACCATAATTTTATGTAATTTCTTCCTAAAATTTTGCTCGTTCACTGTATGTAGGTTCATACAGGTTCATGACTGCTATCTTTTTAATAAATATTTTGTGTTTTTAGATAAGTAAGGAAGTATACTAGTTTCCTTTCTGTCCTTGTGATAAAATACTGGCCAAAATCAAGTTAAGGTAGAAAGGAATTATTTGAAAACCTCCAGGTTCTGGGCCATCATTGAGAGAAGTGAAGACAAGCACTCAAGCAGGAACTGAAGCAGAGACTATGGCAAAGTGCTGCCTGCTGGCTCTGGCACAGTCCACACTTAGCTTCTGTACACAGCCTAGGGCCACCTGCAGAAGCTGAATGGTGCTTCCCACAGAGCCCGGCCTCCTGCACCTGTTAACATTCCAGACCATCTCTGGATCAGGTGACTTCTAGACTTTGTCAAGAGGACCCCACTGCAATGCTTTCTGTAGTAGTAGATTGGCCTTAGTTGTGGAAGCACTGTCCTTTTCATCATTGTACAGTTTCCCCTTTATCCCCGTTAAAGTTTTCCTTCTAGCTTTCCTATGCACTCGTGGTCCTGCGTTAAGCAGACCATTTCAATCCATAGCTGCCTACCTCAGTTGTAGAATGGGTATAATGCCTACTGTAATGTTTCTGTGAAAGTTTCTCTGAAAAATATGTGAAGTGTCTTGCCTGTGATAGGTTTTCAGTAGTGCATTTAAAGTACTTAAAAAAAGAGATTTATTTTCTGTGATGTTTGATCTGCAGATATTTATGTACATAACATTCGTGACTGGTGCCTGTGGAGGTCAGAAGACAGGATTGGATCTCTTGGCTGTGAGCCACTGTGTGGGTTCTGGGAATTGAACCCAGGTCCTATGGAAGAGAACCCAGTGCTCCTAACTGCTGAGCCATCTCTAGCCCCTAAAGTACTTTTTAAAAAGGAATTTTCTTTGTTTTTTTCTTCCTCCTTTTCTCTTTAAAAGGATCAGCTTTGAATGTATTTGCTTGTAAGTGGAATGTGCTTTGGGATCTGACAGAGATAGTCCTGGGGCTTGAAGTGGGGGAAGGTGATAGATCGTTTGTCTTCCAAACTGAGGGCGGAGTGTCTTTTTAGTGCATGGGAGAACTTTGAGTCCCTGTTTCTGAATCTGTATCAGGCCCACTGTTCTTAGTTTCTTCTTTATTCTTCAGTATACTTCCTTTTGAAAATATTTGAGACAACTGAAAAAGGACAAAAGGCTTTTGAGGAACTTAGTTTTTATAGAGCCAACACTGGGAGGTTAAACTTCAGAGGTTAAGGTTACCAATAAATTGTAAAATCATTACTATAGTTAGAACACTAAATATCATGAGGATATAAACTATTGTCATATTTACAGGGATAAACTGTGTACCTCTCCACCTTTTTAAAAAATAGGTTCTTACTTTGTAGTCCAGGCTATTAATGAATTTGTGGCAATTCTGCTTTTGGCTCCTGAGTGCAGGGATTACAGGAATGTATCAACATGCTTGGCTTCTTGGTTTTTTATGACTTACCTTTTATTCCTGTTTTAAATTTCTGTTTTAACTACCATTTGCATAACAACCATGTACTTTATGTGCCTTATAGACCTCATTCTTTGATTTACAGATAGAGGATAGGAAGAGAGAAGATAGAATTTTAGATGGGAATCAAATTTTAACGTATATGGTTCCTGTTTTGTGTTAACTAGTCAGGGGTTGAGTAGTGCAGTGATTTTGGAGATGATCAATTAGTGGAGCACCTTGAAGAACGTGTGGGAAGTAGTTACTTTCCCCGTAGGCTCATGAGAAGCACTGAAGGCTTGGAGGGGTAAACAAAGTAGGTTACATACTGAAAAAATATAAAACGTATGCACATATCTGTATGTGTGTGTATTTGTGTGTGTTCACGTGCACATGTGATGTGTGACATAGGGCTTAAACATAATTTTCTTTGTAGTCTTTTGGCATGTTTATCAATGAGCCCCTTTTAGACCACTCTGGATAAAACAGACTTTTTTTTTTCCACCCTGCACTAATTTCCTTCTGATAGCATTTATTCCCACTACTCAGAATATATTCTCACTTGTTTTCTTCTTGTCTGCTCTTCCACACGATTGTAATTCCATGGTACAAGGACTGTATGTGTTCATATTCTGGTGCTTAGTACAGTCCTGATTTATAACCTTTAGTAAGTATTGACTAAATGAATGAGTGAATATTCAAATTAAGGTAACCATAAGCAGGTGTGAAAGCACATGCTTTTAATTCTGGCTCTTGGGAGGCAGGGCCAGGCAGGTCTCTGTGTATTCAAAGCTACCCTAGTTTATAATAGTGAGTTCCAGTACAGCCAGGGCTACATGATGAAACACTGTGTTAGAAAAAAAAAGAAGATAACCATAATTTTTTATGCAATTTGTATCATGGCTGTCAGTGGTTGGATATGGTAAAGAGTCCTTCCTACAAAACTCCATTAAAAAGTATTTTCCCTTTCTTCCAGAGTTTATATTCAGAACACCAATCAAATTAAGCAAGCCCGGAGAACTTGGTGAGGAATATGGATGCCTGAGAAAGGTATGGACATATTAGCATGACATTTACTTTCTTAAAGTTAATTGAAATATTGGCATTAAAGAATGCTTACTTTTAATTTTCTGGGTCTTTAAAAATCTACAACTCACAGCCTGTCTTTCTCCATACTGTTTTATAACAGTCTGGATAGATTTAAAGCTACACTAGAAGTAAATGTAGCTAAGAACCTTTGAGTTGTCTTTTCACAGGTGAAAGTGTAGCTTATAGGGGTTATCACACTATCGAGAAAGCTGTGCTCCACACCCAGCACAGCCCTTGCTAATAATTGCTTGTGTAATTTTTTTCTTCCAAACAGTTACTTGTAGCTGCTGTTATTTTTACGCCTTTTACTTTATTAAGTACTCCAGGAGCATTGTTACAGAGGCCATGGGACTAATTTGAATAATCTCTTACTTATAAAATATTTACTACTGAGAAAGCTTTTAAGTGTGTTATCATAATCTTTTTTTTTTCAACATTGGAGATTGAACCTTGGGCATGGAGGATATACTCTGCCAGTGAGGCCCAGTTCCAGTCCTTAATTGTTACTTTTTTTTTAAATTTCAAACTGATTGTCTGAGACTGGCCTGTAGACGTTTGATGTCAGTCAAGCATCCCTGGTCCCTCTCCTGCACCACCACTGCTCTCTCGGGCATGTAAACGGTCAGGTGGTAATTCTCCATGTGAGCATTTACTTTATAAAGGTAAATGTCTACTTTGTCAGAATCAGGCATTGGTATAGAATAGACGCAAGATGTAGTGATATTTTCTCATGATGAGTGATGAATGCCTGAAAGAAGCAGCTCAGGGAGGAAAGGATTTATTTTGGCTACAGTTCGGAGAGACAGTCACTCCTTGTGGGAAGGGCATGGCTGCAGGTGACCCTGTGGTAACAGGTGCAGACCTATGGTGACAGAAGGGCAGGTGTTTGCTCATTTTTCTGCAAGTGTGACAGGTGGTGAGGCTGGCTAGGTCCACAGCTGCTCCCTTCTTCCATCAGGTGCGTGCACACATAGAGACTCCTCAGTGTAAAAGACATGATATGGTTTTACTATTCAGATGGTTATTGAGCACCTGGTATGAGTCACTGGGGATACTCAAAAGAATTTTAAACTCTGATGTCATAGACCCCTGCTGCTAGAGAGCCTGGCAAATACAGCATTTTAGCTGTATTTAGCCTGCTAAAATGCAGGCGAGCTAACTTCCTGTGTAAAATGGGGACTTCCTTAGTAAGAAGGAGAGCGTGGTTCCTGGCTGGGAGCTCCCAGGATCTGCCTCATAAAACAGAAATAAGACCAATTAGAATACTGTTTGGAGAAAGCAATGTTACGTTAAACCACAGTTAAGCTTTTGCTAAAAGTTTGGTAGAAGGGTATCGTAGATTCAGAGATGTGTCCAAGGAAGTTATTAGAGTTGCATGTTGTTGCTGTTTTGTTTTTGAAATACAAGTCTTATTATATAATTCAGGTTGGTTTTGAACTCAGTCTTACAGCCTCCCAAGAAGGTGAAAGTATAGATATGTGGCACTGTGCCCAACTAGTTGTGGCTTTGAGTCATGGATCTAGGTTTATTTAAGAAGGGTAGAGCTGTCAATTTTGGTGTCAAGAAAGGATTGCAGAAG